AAAGAAATGAGATGCAGAATGAGAAACTGTGTCAGAGAAGAGATAGAAAAATCAGAGAAGAGATAGACAAACAAGCAAAAGGAGGAAGCATCACCCAGACAAGAGCAAACCCTTACCTGGCGTCCCAGAAGGTTAGAATGGAAGCTCCACCGGCCCCGTGCCCCCGCTGGTTGTCGTGATTATCCACAAAGACCAGGGCTCTGTCAGAAGGCACAAAACCCCAGCCTTCTCCCCAGTTCCTAGACAAAAACACAAAGACTTGAAGCTACCCTGTCAACTGGTGTATCCAGCGTATCCCAGAGAAGTCACAGCATCTTCACCCTTACTTTAAGTAAGCCATCTTTTCTCCATTCCACTTGCGGATCACTGTCCCCAGTTTTGCACCATATTTGAACTCTGTCACTCGACCGTTTCCAAAGTAGTCACTGCCTTTGATCGGCTCTCCACCCAGGTCAATCACCTGGTACAGGAAAGACAGAGCATGCCTTTATATTTAAAAAAAACCAAACTGTGAAAGGCATTGCCCTAGACCTTGATTTAAGGAAGAGGCACTACTTGAGCCAGGCTTATTATCTGGGTTAAAAAAACGGATTTAAACCTATTTTCTTCATTTTATCTCAGCCTAGCTGTGAACTTGTTTTCCGTCTCCATCCTAAATCTCCTTACCCTGATTGATCACTACCACGTAATTAAAGCATGGGCCATACCAAGTTTATATTTAGTCTAGTCACAAATGCCTCTGCTTCCAGCACATGGGCAACCTCATTTTACTACGTAGCTAAAGAAGGTTTCTCTCTTTGCCCTAAACCTTGCAGGCAAGATACTGGTTTAATAAAACGTGTCTAGCAACTTTAGCTTCTGCTGATTGAAACCAACAATTACCTGCTTCTCAGGATTTGTTATTCAAACATAAAACACAAATTTGCAATGTCAGGTAACACTGGTTATGCCACTGGAAAACAAACTAACAGACTGTAATCACCATTTATATCTTCTGTCACAATTTATTATCCAGAACTTAAAATTCAGGGATTGACACCTCCTTTTTAAACCAATAGAATTTTTACACTAAGTTTGATTCAGTAAATTTCATCTCAAGTGAAATTTCCAGGTTACCTAGTTCCAGAAGGTCCAAAACAACTGGGGCATTTTGCATGTCAATTACTATTTGTGGTCAGGTTCAATATTTGTAAATTATGATTATTAAATCTAAGTAATGATGTCTATAGATCTTGAGTCTGAAAGCTGCTCGGGCCCAGCTCAAGCAAAGCATCACTTCCAGTGCTGGACTGAGTTTACACCATGCCTGCAAGAATTATGTTTGTAAAGTGCCATTAAAAAAAATAAATAAAGATTACCTCCTGGTAAACGAAAGGTTTAGTTCCTGCAGAAAACCATTTAGTATTTAGATCTTTCAGCTTGTCTAAAATGGCCTTCACATCCCCAGGCCACATATGCTTGGCAGCGTCAATCGGGCTCCCTGCCACACCAATATCAATGAGGTAGTTCAGGTACTCGGCAACTTTCGAGCGTACGTAGTCCTTCTCCAGGGCCAGATCAAGAAGGCTAACCAAGCGGCAGTCTCGGACCTATATAAAAATTCTCAAATGAAATATTTTTCACCTAATAAACTAACTGTAGTGTTCTACACACATTTTAAATTTTGTTACCTACACTACAATGCCAAATACAACCTTCACTAGCCATTGTTCACCATGCATGTCTTTGCCTTGGACATTTGTCACCTTGGACAGTCATCTACACTGAAGGAGCATTAAGAAGTCTGCATTCACCCAGCTTACACAGCTGTAGGTGCTGAAGGATTATAACAGAGAGACAAACCACTAAATCTATAATCAGCTTTTTACTGCAAGTATACAGCAAAAAAACAATAAATTATTTTTACTCCAGTGTATTAAGGAACAGATCCATTACTATTTCAAGTGCACTCATTTCTTCTCTCATGTAAGAAAGCTTTCTAGAAATTGTATTTCTAAATATTTTAAAAATCCTGAGTTATAGCCTTACAAAACATAAAACATGTGTATTCTGTCCCCTTTTTGCCTTTGTTTCCTGTAAACACAAAATGATGGACATCAATTTTCATTAAAAGAATACTTTAAACATACACTGAATATATTGAAATGCTTTTTTTAATAACTCTTACGATGGGTTTCCATGGCTATGCACATCTGCCTGGGGACAGCAAGGTGCATCAGCCTACGTTGCAAACTGTACTAAAGAATTAGTTCCCTTAGAATTGCTCAAGAATTCAGGGTCATTTAAAGTCTCCTCTTCTCCTATTTCTCCAAAACCCCTCTCCTCTCAACTTAGATTCAACTTAGATTTCAAATACATTTGAAAGGCATAAAACATTATTCAAGAAAGATAGGCATTTATCTTTATAAAATAATTTTTCATTCTGTGGTAGTTTTAAAGTCCTGACCTCATAATCTGATATACAGGAACAGATAGACCCCTAGGAAATCTCTAAATGGAAATTTGATTTTCAAGATGTTAGCATTACTATTTTTCTTTATGAAATCCTAATCTCTCTCTCTCCTGAAATTGAGACCAAAGAAAACTTCCAAATTACAATAAAAGGCAAATAATAACTCTTACGCTTTTTTGAACATAAAAACCCCACAGAAGATAATCCCTAAATTGATTTTATAAGCTTTAAAACTATCTTTGTACAGTACCTAAGCACATTTGTCTAAATCTCAAATTGAGCCATTGGCTCAAGCAGAGGTATCCCTTCAAGAAGTGGTGTTCCTGATAGAAACACTAACCTGTATTACCAATTTGGATAGTTTTCCATGAGGGTTTTTGTTTTGTTTTGTCTTTAAAAAAAGTCTGACAGTAAAGGGGAGCAAAGAAATCACAGCCCAGGAATGGATGTACATCAAAAATATATTTACAGTTCTAGGTTTACCTGAGATATATCATGATAATTCTCAATGTCTCCACTTCTAGATTTACATTTACTATCATTAAAGTCCCAGCCAGAATACGGCACAGCTGGAAAATCTTCAGTCTTCGCATTGAAATAGCTTCCACAACTAGCATGGTCACCAGCACCAGCATTAGCTCCACACATATGGTTTATTACTGCATCCACATAAATATGTACCTAGAGAACAGTATCCACATTTCAGTTTGAGAAAGCGACTTCCCACTGCACTACAATTAACATTCTCTCTCTCTTACCTCCTGCTCTAACCTCCTACTTCTGCTTGCTTGCTTGCTTTCCCCAACGTTTTATTTGAAGTATTTCTCTTTTATGAACATACAGCAATGGTGATACAACATGCATCTCAACAGATAGGCAGATAACATTGCACCTATTTTTAAAAAGGGCAGAAAGGAGGACCCTGGGAACTACTGACCTGTCAGCCTCACCTCTCTGCAAGGGAAGATCATGGAAAAGGTCCTCCTAGAAGCTGCGCTGAAGTACATCAAGGACAGGGAGGTGATTCGGGGACAGTCAACATGGTTTCATCAAGGGCAAGTCCTCCCTGACCAACCTAGTGGCCTTCTATGATGGAGTGACTGCATCAGCGGACAAGGGGAGAGCTACGGATGTCATTATCTGGACTGCTGTAAGGCCTTTGACATGGTCCTCCACAACATCCTGCCCTCTAAATTGGAGAGATACCAATTTAATGGGTGGACTCTCTGGTGGGTGAGGAACTGATTGGATGGTCACATCCAGAGGGTAGTGGTCAACAGCTCGATGCCCAGATGGAGATCGGTAATGAGTAGCATCCCTCAGGGATCCGTACTGGGACCAGTGCTGCTCAGTATCTATCAATGACAGAGACAATGGGATCAAGTGCACCCTCAGCAAGTTTGCAGATGACACCAAGCTGAGTGGTGTGGTTGACACGCCTGCAGGATGGGATGCCATCCAGTGGGACCCGGACAAGCTTGAGAAGTGGGTCTGTGTGACCTTATGAGGTTCAACAAGGCCAAGCGCAAGGTCCTGCACCTGAATCAGGGCAATCCCTGGTATCAATAGAGGCTGGGGGTTGAGTGGATCAAGAGCAGCCCTGCCAAGAAGGACTCAGGGGTGTTGGTGGATGAAAAGCTAGACGTGACCTGGCAATGTGCACTCACAGCCCAGAAAGCCAATTGCATCCTGGGCTGCATCAAGAGAAGTGTGGCCAGCAGGTCGAGGGAGGTGATTCTCCCCCTCTATTCCACTCTGGTGAGACCCCACCTGCAG